AAAAAAAAAAAAAAAAAAAAAGTCAAAAATCTCTAATAGCACAATCCAAGAGAAGAACAAACAATAATAGTAAAATAATGGTATAAGAACCATGCACAAGAAAAAGATAAAAGCTTTCTACATTCACCTAACTAATAACACCAGCCAACCTGGCTTATAAATCTGTAAAATGTGAATACCCCTCTTAATCTACTAATCATGACAAATATTTTTCAAACACAGAAAAACATTTGTTTAAGAACTGAAGTTTCAATTATATTTATTCATGTTTGATGTAAATATAATTTTATTTTTCTCAACTATCATGAAATTTTATATGGTAGTAAGAATGCCAGTTACGCCTTACATTAACAGATGGTAATAGTCAGATATTAATTATTATTTACAAATGAAGTAGTAACTGGGAAATAAAGAAAATGTATTAATAAAATTTGGTATTTTCTTCTTCAAAGATGGCCCGGCATGCCCAGGTGGTTATGGCACCCGACTCGCAATCTGAGGGTCGCGAGTTCGAACCCCCTTCACGCCAAACATGCTCGCCCTTTCAGCCGTAGGGGTATTATAATGTGACGGTCAATCCCACTATTCCTTGGTAAAAGTGTAGCCCAAGAGTTGGCGGTGGGTGGTGATGACTAGCTGCCTTCCCTCTAGTCTTACACTGCTAAATTAGGGACGGCTAGCGCAGATAGCCCTCGTGTAGCTTTGTGCAAAATTCAAAACAAACAAACAAATTCTTCAAAGATAGGATAATAGGGAGAGGTATATAAATATTCATAAATAGGTTACAAATTAATACAAATATATATTGATAGATGGATGTAACAAGAACCAAAATGATAGAAATATGACAGGTATTTAGTCACATCAATCATACATTTGAATATGGTACTTCATATAGAACTCCTATCCAAATGAGCATGTCTGTGTAACAAGCCACACTGAGGTTTCATTATGTAAAGTTAGCAATTAAGCTGCTGGTGCAGAAAATGGTCAGACAGAAGTAAAAATGTGTGTGACATAATGTTGAATGTGTCACATAACACATTAAAGAACTGAACATCAGCATTCTGGTGTTCAATTCTCTCATTTGCTAAGTGTTAAATGCACACATTAGTACATTTGCATAGCTTTGATATTGCCTAGATGGTTTTATGTCAAAACCTAAGTTCCTGTCAGAAAACAGACAACACAAATCTCACACAAGCTAGTGAACAGCTAGTTAATGGCTTTTAAAAATCTAAAAGAAATTTAAGCAGAAAATGACTGAAAATTATGATAAAATTTTACTTTTTACAAATGCTATGTCTTAAACAATGAATCACTATTAATTGTACATATTTGCCCAATTTGGTGCCGTCAAGTGTTTTTGAAAGTGCTGCAAATTTAAAGTTGTAACTACTAATTATAGTAACTAGGTAATGTTATACTTTTCCATTCTATATTATCATTACTTCACAGTTATACCCAACTTTTTTATTCATTTAACTGTCAACAAGCAAAAAATTATTTCAAAACTGCAAATGTTTTATACATTAACTTTTCAGAGTGGCTAAATACCTGGCAGTCCAAAAACTTGAATACTGATGGGCTACAACAACAATACTAATAATAATGATGATGACAATAATAATACCAATGATAATTTAAAAAAAAGTTACATTATCATGAAATTATATGCTGCCGGGTATTTAGTGTTTTGAGAATCATTCCCGACACCTTATAGCAAACATACACCGATCAACACAAAACAAGAATGACGATTGATATTTTTCCAGTACAATATAATTTTATTCAAATGTTTCATGAAGCTTGAAGACAAATCAGTCTCATAAACTAACTGTTACTCATTCTCTAGGTCGAGTGAGAGGTTATTGTAGCTCATCAGTATTCAAATTTAACTGCCAAGTATTTGAAAGATTGTTCTTGATTTGATGAATTAAGAGCAGAAGGAACTAACTATCTCCACTTTTAACTTACATGGAACATACTGATACTTGAATTAAACTCAATAAATATATCTTACCTATAAATGAATAAAATCTACAAAATTTTAAACTAAACTAATTAGAGAGAGATCTTACCCCTACATCATCTACAAGCATTTTGTCCAATCCAACTGGCCCTAACGAGCTCTTTACTATGTTTGATATGGCACATGCTGCCATCACTGAAAAAGAAAAACAAGATATATATATATATTGCAATACAAATAACTCATCCATACCAATTAAAACTACAAACACTAAACAATTAAAGAATCTAACAAACAGCTCCATAATCAAAGTACTATAATCATAAATTTTAGAATACACTTAACATTTTTCCGTAAAATAATTTTAAAAAAGCAGTTACTAATTTATAAAATATTTACTAAACTATATTAAAACAAAAGTAATAATAAGTGCAAAAGACTAACAAACAATTAATGGAAAGGCAGCAAACTGACAGCACCTACCACCAGCTCTTATCTGACCAAATAGTTGGATTTGATCACTCTTATAGCATACCCACAGACCCAAAGTGAAGAATGGATTTTTACTGCAATGGAATGCAAACCATGAACCCCAAGATCCACACTCCTGGCAATTAAACCAATCATAAAACAACTTTTTAAACCAAAGCACAAATATATCAACAAATTTTCATAAATTCTGATAATTGTCCTATAGAAATAATATCAAAATAGCATTCAAATTTGTTATCAGTTCAACTGATTGAGCCATTATATTCTTGTGTCATAATCAGTTTTTTTAGTTTTATTACAAGATTTTAACATTTTGGTATTCGAGGTGTGGGAGATCCAGATTTTAATATCAGTTTCAAAGCATAGAAAACATAGGAGCGAGAGAGAGGAAAAAAAAAAAAAAAGATGTGCTACTTCATTTTAGAAATACAATGAATTAACCCTTATTATTCAAATTAAATGAATCCAACAGCAGGATCATTTTCTACAAGCAACTTAGGAATTTTTGTCTTATGAATTTAGATTTAAATATCAAAGTTACTATAACCGAGTTTTATTTTTACCAATTTTCAGCTTTTTAAAGGAAGTTTTGAAACAAATAGAATGAAAATTTTCTTGATGTATATAGTGTGTACTGTTATTGTTAGTCTATTGTAAACTGTCACTTGTGTAAGTTCATTTTAATGGTGTAAAATTGAAATTTCTTCACTAATAACTTCTTAAAGTCTAAGAAAGCCTGCATAAATAGTTTGAAAATAAATAATGATAAACCATGGTTTAGGATGATCTTGGGGGTTCATATTACATAGAAAGAAATTAAATTTGATACTTTCAGCAAAGTCACTTTTTTAACTTTGGTTGGCTTTAGAACAGCATATTTGCCAATGGTCAATAATAAAGTCTGATGGGCACATTATTTCCCATCAGTCTAAAGAAGAAATAGACTACTATCTTCTAAGAAAGTGCCTTTTTTCTGACAAGAAAAATTGTCAAATTATATTTATTTGGAAAAGGCCAATACTACTACTAAACAATTTTAATGCTTATAAATTAGTTTCTTTTCTGTCCAATTAAGTTATATCATAATGTGCAGTGAAGTCATGTTACAAATAAGCAAACTCAAAAACAACAAAGAAATGAACTAACCCAATCATAAATTGGTCTTAATAGTTTGATAAAATACAAGTTTTAAAGTCACATTAAAAAAAAAAAAAAAAAAATCTGTAATTTTTGTATGTAATGTAACATGTATTGTAACAGCTGTTACATAAAAATACCAAAATATAAAAAAATCCACCCCTCAAATTTGTTATTAGCTCAACTGACTACCCGAGCTCAATTTACCAAACTATTGCAGGCACAAAGTTGTACCACATGCATGCATGTTATGATCTAAAAAAGAAATTCAACTTCTATGAATCATAGGTTTTAAAAGGGACTACTTTCTCTATATGCACAAGGCCATTACATTTTTTTCTCAATCATTTCTTTTGACGTTAAATATCATAAACTAGACTGCTCAGCACTTTATCAAAGAGTGAAGCAGATTCAGGGCTTAATATTGATAATCCTCAAACACAAAACATGGATTAATTTAACACTAACTTTTAAAACATTTAGTTTTACTTTCTTAAAGATATTTCAATAAAAATATCATTCTCAAAATAAAATTCCCATGAAATATTTCAATATATAATAAAAATGACATCCTAATTACGTCCCCTAAACAATTAGAAGTTATCCTGATTAAGTGGTATAATTGAACATTAAATTTCTAAAGTAAGATGTTTTAAATATGTACATTGTCTTGCACAAAAACTGTTTCATTCTGTTAGCAGCTCAAACTTCCCTGGGTTTTAAAACTAAAACTGTTCCTAAGCCTCACATAGGTAAAAATATTTACTAGTTGTTTTAGCATCATCAACATTTTTTCTGGATTAGAATGGTGCCATCTAACACCTGATCAGGGTCCTACACCTACATTACCCATGATTCCTCAGGACAACTTGACATCAAACCCCAGCAAACATCTGAAGCTGCCACCCAAATGACGGGTTACGAGGAGGAGGAACAAACTGTGATCTGAAAAGTAAGTACTTATTCAAAACACATTTTACTTCAAAAATTCTGAATTTAAATACAGACTTACCTTTCACTTCATATATATTAAAATTCCCCACAAACTTGAGAGGAGGAGGGAGTAAGTGAAAGAGCTGGACATGCAACAAACAGTGTTCATGCATACTTCTCCAGAGCATAGTTTTAATATCAGGTGAGTCTCACATTCTCTGGAAGAAGACAGGCATTATGAAATACCAAGACCCATGGAAGTTTTACAGCAACAAAAACAGTAGCTGTGAGACATACAAACCAGGCTTAATGTCCAGCTAGAATGAAGACAAGATAAATGGGACTTTGTCCACACCACCTGATCTGACATGCAGAACTGCAAGATAGATACTAAGTGTCTACAAAGGCCCACACACAGACTACATAATTCTGTCTGAACATTGACTATAAGGATTAAGGGTAACAGGCAACATGAAATACAGAAATAAAGTAGGAAGTCATAAAAAAAACAAGAAAAAAAACAATCATAACATGAGAACATCAGGCTTGGTAAAGAGTTGGACAAGAAAAAGAAAAAACCACCAGCATCCAAAACTGAAGAAGGAAAACTGTGAATTACCAATGCCTGAAGGATGGAAAATAATTAGAGAAAGGTAAGAGACAAAAGAAAAAATAAAAGTAAGTACAACTGACATTAAAAATCTGGATCAAAGGACAAGTAAACCAGTGGGATGCAACAAAACTTACAGACAATACAACACATATTCAAGCACATACACACAAAATCTTCAATAAGAGGAGGTCTAATGGAATAATAACAGGAGGCACCCCCTCCCCCCAAACACAAATGGAACTAACAGAACAGCCAAAGAGTTCCTCCGACAGCAACCACAATGGGGCTAGCTAAGAAATACCCAGGTGGGACAAGGGTGAACAAAAGAGCCAATTCGATATGAAAGAGGATGAGTCTATCTGGACAAAGAAAGGAATCACTAGGGTTCTTCGATAACCATAAAAACAATAATAATAAAAAAAACTCACACCATACAGGTATGAAAAAAAAATGCAGTAATGTTCTAATACTGTTACAGACTTTAAGGGTAATTGCCAATATCAAACACATTTACATTTTCAGGTGGGTGTTAGGCACAATTACGTGGCATATACTACAAACCATGAATTTCATGTAGTTTCCTGTCTGCACAGAATTCAGTCATGCAGCTATTAATGAAACGAGTGCCATCATATTGACTTGCATATTCATGGGTGACCTGTTAATTGGTTAGACTGGTCTAGCATTCACACTCGTACAGTTTGTAATCAAAAGAAACATGACTTTAATCACATTATCAAGCAGCATCTTTGCAAGGCAATTGATAATTAATCATGAGCTGTTACTTGTTGCACCCTTGAAGACAAACATAAATGGTAATCAGCCCAACTACTAGACTAAAATATGCCTAGTCAAACTTGTAATTATTACATACAAAATTGTCATATACTTACAATGTCATAAACAACAATATCTTCACTTTTATCCCCTCCCTCCCATCACAAAGTCTCAAACATCAATACGCATTGAACATACCTAAAACTAACAGGTTACCTTAAAATATGAAGGCATAGCATAATTGTTACAGGGGGCATCACTAATTTTGTCATCCTGATAACTTACACGTTCACCCTCAGAATCTGACAACCAAGTATATTTCACTTCCAGTTCTGAAATCCAAGGGAGAGCCCTGAAACACCATACACTTCCTTTTTTTAGAAAGATAAATGATGTTAAATTCAAAATTACTATACATGAATTCTAGAGAACTGCTAAATACCCATCTAAAACTTAAGCTTTTCTCAATGATCATTCATAAACCATCTGTTTCTTTCACATAAAAAGCAAGTTTTCTCAAGTTCCATACTTTTTTGTGCATCATTTTTGAATGTTGAAACACATTTTTCAAGTTTAGCCTATTCACTAAGCTATTCAGTCCTTCATCAATACCAGTCTTATCAACTTTTATTTTATTTTTATAAATCAAAAGAAAATTTCATTTCATTGCCCAGGATGGCATCTACATTAACAAATATAATAGTTAACAAAGATGCTAAAAATAAAAAAATCCTTCAGGAAAGTTTTTATTTTAAAAAAATCCTGAAATCTTGTTTTTTTATTAATCACAGAAGACATTATACAGAACTGGGAAAAATAATAAATCTTAAATAGTTGGTTTTGCAGAATTAATATTTGTTTAACTTCATTACTAACATCAAACTTTACTATAATCGTTTAATTGAACATACTTGTATTCCCTTCAATACAGTTTGGAATACAGTAGCTTGCATACAGTAGCTGGTCATACAAATAGCTTGCAGATGCTAATCATACAAAATGATAGAAATGTCATCTGACTTCTTTTGAAATTAGTATCCACATTATACAAAATCTAATACTTGCACAGTAAAAGCAGAGTTAATGTAAAACCTGCACATATAAATTTTGATTATTATTTCCCACATCGACTTATTTCAAACTAACTTTTTATCTAACGTATTGCAAAAATTATAAACTATTATTCTTACATGCAACTGTTGCAAACTTTCTACATATTACACAAAAAATGTCTACCATTCATTACCTAGTAGCAAAAAGTGTGCCCAATTCTAATTATTTACTAAGCAGGACTATATTAATTTATAAAATTTGCAAATTAATAGTTAGAATTTATCATCATTACATAATTTTTGAAGTTTACTTCAACCT